GAAATAATGTTTATTTCTAATGAAATTTTATTTTATTAGTTCATCATCATATTTTTTTTAAAGATACAATAGAACAAACAACAATAAAAAAGAGATGATTATTATTTATTGTCCAAAAATTATGTTTTTTATTTTTATTATTGTTTAATATTCTTCACCTTCTCCTTCGCCTTCACCCTAAAATAAAAAAGAATTCATATTTTTATTTCAATCAAATATAAAATAAAACAATTTCCTCTTACTTCAACTGAATCAACACCAACTTCTTCATAATCTTTTTCTAATGCAGCTAAATCTTCACGAGCTTCAGAAAATTCACCTTCTTCCATACCTTCACCAACATACCAATGAACGAAAGCACGTTTAGCATACATCAAATCAAATTTATGATCAAGACGAGCCCAAGCCTCTGCAAAAAGAAACATAATTGATTTATGTAGAAAATCATAAGAATTAAATAATCTTACCAGCAATAGCAGTTGTATTAGATAACATACAAACAGCTCGTTGAACTTTAGCTAAATCTCCACCTGGTACAACAGTTGGTGGTTGATAGTTAATACCAACTTTAAAACCTGTTGGACACCAATCAACAAATTGAATTGTTCGTTTTGTTTTTATTGTTGCAATAGCTGCATTGACATCCTTAGGTACAACATCACCACGATATAATAGACAGCAAGCCATATATTTACCTAAAAATTTACAACAATTATTAAAGAGATAAGAAAGTTATAAAAAAAAAATTTAAGCTATTTTTTCTTTACCATGTCGAGGATCACATTTAACCATTTGATTAGCTGGTTCAAAAACAGCATTTGTTATTTCAGCAACAGTTAATTGTTCATGATAAGCTTTTTCAGCTATATAACAAAAGAAAAAGAAAAAAATGAATAAGTAAAGACTCAGTAAATATCATACCGCTAATGATCGGTGCATATGTAGCTAATGGAAAATGAATACGAGGATAAGGTACTAAATTTGTTTGAAATTCAGTAAGATCAACATTAAGTGCACCATCAAAACGTAACGATGCTGTAATTGATGAAACAATTTGTGCAATTAAACGATTTAAATTTGTATATGTTGGACGTTCAATATCCAAATTACGACGACAGATATCATAGATGGCCTCTAAAAGAAAATTTCAAATAATAATTTCATTTTGAAAAAAAAAAATATTTTTTTCTTTTAACGAACCATTATCAACCATAAAAGCACAATCCGAATGTTCAAGTGTTGTATGTGTTGTTAAAATTGAATTGTATGGTTCAACAACAGCCGTCGAAATTTGTGGAGCTGGATAAACAGCAAATTCAAGTTTCGATTTTTTTCCATAATCAACACTAAGACGTTCCATTAATAATGATGTAAAACCTGAACCAGTACCACCTAATAATTAAATTTTAAGTATAATTATTAGTCTGTTTTTTTTATTATTTTCAATTAAATAATTTACCTCCGAAACTATGAAAGATAAGAAATCCTTGAAGACCAGTACATTGATCAGCCAATTTACGAATACGATCAAGTACCAAATCAACAATTTCCTTACCAATTGTATAATGTCCACGAGCATAGTTATTAGCTATAGGAAATATTTAGTAAAAAAAAATTTTTTTTTTTTTGTCTTTTAAAATAAACTTACCAGCATCTTCTTTTCCAGTAATTAATTGTTCAGGATGAAATAATTGACGATAAGTACCAGTACGTACTTCATCTAAAATATTTTATAATTAATTTAAATAATTATGTTTGTTTTTTCTGTTCCTACCGATGACAGTTGGTTCCAAATCGACAAAAACAGCTCGTGGTACATGTTTACCAGCACCTGTTTCACTAAAGAAGGTATTAAATGAATCATCACCTCCACCAATTGTTTTATCTGATGGCATTTGTCCATCAGGTTGAATTCCATGTTCTAAACAATATAATTCCCAACATGCATTACCAATTTGAACACCAGCTTGACCAACATGAATTGAAATACATTCACGCATGATCTAGAAATAAAAAGATTTTCTTTTCTTTGTAAGTAACAAATGAAATATAAAAAGAAAGAAACAACGTACTGAAGTTTTAGTTTTATTTAACGACGGTAGCGGTTGCTTGTTTGCTCTCTCACGTCTCTTTGTGGCGACTGACTGACAGAGTGAGCGAGTTAGGCTGAAATGTTATATAGAGAGACAGAAAGGGAGCGAATGTGTAACGAAGGCGACGAATGAAAAAGAAAACGAGAGAGAGAGAGAGAGAACAATCCGGGGCGACGGCAGCACTATCACCCTGAGATGATTCATCATCTTTTTTTATAGCCCCATGAAACGATGAAAGTGCAGTGTCGAGTTTCTATTGGAGACACTTGAATTGATCGATAATGAAACAAATACAACGAAAAAAAAAAGATGAAGAAAAAAAAAAAAGAAACTCCTTAGAGACGACACCAACACTACAATCAACAAAGGAAAGTGTATGATCACAGTACTCTAGAGATCGATCTTAGTTCATCAGAAAGTCTTGAAAAAAATAAACAAATAAATCTTTTGAACAGGCAACATTCTTTTTAATTAATCATGAAAATCCTAAAATGCTAATATATTAAAAAGAAAATAATAATAAAAGAAAAACAGAAAAACTAATGAATATATTTGCGTTGCTATATAAGAACCGGAAAAAAGTGCGTATAAAGTTGGTTTTGTCTTCTCTTTTTTTCTTTTTTATTCTGCATAAAGTCAATAGCATGCATATTCTTATAACATTAAGGTAGATAGTAATTTCAAGTGCTTTAACTGATAATATAGAAACTGTGCAAATGCTAGTTTAATAAGTTTACTTTTATTTTTCAGGGACAAAATTTTCATATAAATTGATTGTTTTTTTGTCTTTTTATTTTCTTCTTCATTTTCAATATCATATCTTAATTAATATACATAATAATAAATTATTTTAGTTCTTTTTATTATTCTTCATTTTTAATGTGTATATTGAACAATTGAATATAAGAATATGGGTGCAAATAAAACGAAACTAAATAAAAACATACTCCAACATTTAGTAAATCGTACAAATCGTAAGAAAAGAAAGCAAAAAAAAACAATTTCAAATTGAAATTTAGAAATATTTTTTTCTTTAGGTTCACCAGCAGAAATAAAAGCTATGTGCGTAAGTTTTATTTGAAAATAACAAAAAATGAATTAAATTCGTCTTTTTTTTTTCTTGATTTAAGGTATGCAATTTTTCGTCGACATTTTCCTAGTGGAAAAGTTGAATCACCTCAAGTACGTTATTAATAGAATCTATAAATAAAACAATTTACTTTTTTTTTTTATTTAGGATCTTTGTCGATGTCTTCAAAAATTTTCACTTGTACCAATTGGATATACAGATCAAAAAGCTTTTGAACGACTTTATCGATTATTTGATGTACAAAATCGAGTAAAAAAATTTTTTTCTCATTGTTTTTTTCTTTTTACTTTTTTTTTTAATTACATTTGAATAGAATCCTAAACATGATAGTGGTATTGATTTTTTTCATTTTATGACCGTTTCAAATATTCTCGAACGTGGTACAACGGCGGAAAAAATAATTTGTAAATCAAAAAAAAAAAAAAGAAAATTTCATAATTTTTTATATAATCTTTATTTTTTTCTAGTATATTTTCAATCTTTTGATGTTGATAATGATCAAAAGATAACACGAGATGATCTAGAAGTATGTTTACCGCCAACAGTTGAATCTCGGCAATTAATTCAACAATTACTTAGACAATGGGATATGGTAAATTTTCTCTATAGATATATTTATTGATCAATAGTTTTTATTTTTTTTGAATCAAAGAATAGGGATGGTGTAGTTACGCTAGAAGATTTTCAACAATATGTTATGAGCAATCCAGATTTATTACCGATGTTTGCTGATGCCAATGAACGAATTCGAATGAATAGTGTTACTCTTGAATCATCAACAGATAATAATAGATATGTAAATGTTTATAATATTAACCGTGGAACTTTTGCAACATCTCAATAAAATAAATAAAAGAAGAAGAATATCTAACTATCTTTGTGATTATACTATAGAATAAAGCGTGATATTTTATAAATAAATATATATAAATAAAAACTATAGATAATCTTGATTGTGGATAATAAATGAAAAAGAAAGCGATTGAATTAGATTGTTTTTATTATCATATATTCGAACATGATTTTCATTTGAATTCATTTGATATTGACAAATAGTGAAATATTTCAATTCAAAATTACATATATTTGAATGCTTATTTCGTTCATAAAAATTATTTTGATTGGATATACCATAACGATATTTGGGCTATCAGTCGAGACATGCAACTGTGAACTAATGATAACGATCAGTTTTTTTTTTTCGGCACCCATCAGTTCTCTTGATAAGAACCCATATGAATAATTCAAAAAACTAGTCTCATTGTAGATTCTCACATGTACATCGTAGATTTCTTACTCGTTTATCGGCTTCGCTGATTTTAATTATAATTATTCAATATACATTGCTATATAAGTAGGCGATGTACTACTACCACACTTGCATCCCTAATTCTGAGCTATAAAATACTAAAAAAAGAGCAACAATAGTGTCCTGTACTTTTGCGAACGAATGCATCCTCCAGCTTTCTCTTTTACATCAGAATTCAATTTTTTAGAAACAGTAATCTATCAAAAAGTTTTCTTTTTTGTTTTTTCTAAGAAGAGCGATCATGATACAAAATGTCTGTACTCAGTTATGCTAGAATCAAATTCAATTGTAGGAATGTGTGTTTTTCAGCTATTTTACAAAAACAAAAAAAATAATTCTCAGTCAGTATTTTTGAAAAGATTATCTTGAAAACGAAACAACATCAACGTATTATTCCTTAATCTCATATCAAAGATTTTTTTTGTTTTTACAATGAAATTTTCGCTTTGAATAAAAATACAAGTGATCGTACAAAAAGAAAAAATCATAAAAATATATCATATATATTATGATGTTCTTTAGATTTAATTCATTTTTTCTGTTGCATTCACAAGGTTATGTCATCTCACTCATGAAACTTAGCTGGTATTTATTAATGATTTGATACTTTAAAATCATTTAAAACTCTAATTTCATGTGCTACAAAGAAATCCATAATGTCATTATGAATAAATAATACTATGAATCATAACCACAAAACTATCATCAAAAAAAAAAGACTGAAAGAAAAATCAAGATTATTTATCGAATTAAATTTTTAATTCATCAATACAAAGTACGTCAATAATGAATATATTGAAAACGAATAGAACTATGTCACATGTATTGAAATAAATCATTCTTTGTTCATGATAACTTATGGCACGAAAATCTTAGCAAAAATAATTCATTCATTTTTCAGTCACATTTAAAGCGACAACTGATTAGAACTAGAAGCAGTTAGTTAGAATCAGACTTGTTTTCTCTTTCCAAATAAATGGTCAGAATTTTCTTTTTGAAATAAAATTGAACAACTATTATTAGATTGTTTCGAAAAGTTTAAAATAGTAGTTGTACAGAAAACTACTTTTTTTTCAATTCTTTTTATTCCGATTGAAACTTATCAAATTCAAAATGCGAAATAGTTTTGAATGGTTTAGTTATATAAAGCAGAGACTGCTTTACAAAGCGTGATGTTACTTTTGCATGACAAATTTTAGAACTTTTGTATTTTTGAAAGATCGATTTTTTGATCAATACCGATTTCTATAGAAACTAGCTTTTTAGAGTGGAAATGCATAGATCAGATTTAGCTTCTTGTACTATTTCATTTTGTACAGAATTTAGTACTCTGAAATGATACTGAGTTGAAGCTATTCCAAGACAAAAATTAAGTATTGCGTTAAAACCTCTTTCTTTCGCTTTGTACAGACACAGTTTTGAATTTTTTCACAAAGGATCTCTCCAGATTTGGTGACCTGGCTTGCAAATTTTGATGTGCTGAAGGTTCATATACTGGTTATTATCCTTGAGGAATGTATATAGTACACATACACATTGTGATCTCTAAGATAAACTTATGCAAACATTGTTTTTAAACTCAATTCGATACAGTTATATGTGCTTGTCAATTTTCTCTACTCTATAGATTTCATTGTTGCTTTCTTCATACTTCAAAAAAATGATCCCTTTTCTAAGATCTA